CTAGCTCAGATAGATTCCTAATCTCCCAACCTCATAACTAGCTACCAAGAAACCATTTCAGGCTATCAATCAAGTGAGAGTAGCTAGCTTGTCTATCTATCTTAGCTGGCATGCCTGCTGGCAAGGTTGGTAGACTCTAGAAAAGCAAGCAATAACTAATATACTGAATAAAACTCATTCCTTTCAAACGTTTACCCAGATTTGAGCAGAGAAGCATATTTATTTTATTTTAAAAAGAGCCACCAGTCAGGAGGATACAGACAGCTCATATAATTAAGCATAATTATTATTACATTTACGTCATTCTTTTTTTCATACCCCCTGTGTGAATCGAACCCACAACCCTGGCATTGCAAACACCATGCTCTATCAACTGAGCTACATCCCTGCCGGCCATTCCCTCCCCTACCCTGGACGACGCTGGGCCAATTGCGCGCCGCCCCATGGGTCTCCCGGTCACGGCCGGCTACGACAGAGCCTGGATTCGAACCAGGATCTCTAGTGGCACAGCTAGCACTGCGATGCAGTGCCTTAGATTATGGCTCTAGATTGCAGGAAAAAGCTGTTTCAGGTGTTTGAAAAATGCAAAATTCTCCAACTTAAGGACGGGAGGGCATAGCCCCCTTCCAGACCACCTCCCAGCCATCATCATGTACTTTGTGCCCCTTCAGATTTTGGGGGTGCATGACGCCCATGCATCGGACAACCTGTTTGGTTGTCCATCAGTTATGGATCTAGTGACCATTATACTTAGCTTGGACATAATAATGTGGTACCGCATTAAATCTTAAAAGGGAACATTGCAATCACATTTCAGGTGTCTTGTTATTAGTGAACATACTTATTGAAAGTGTTAATTCAGCCAGTCAGTAGTAATATTAGTTATTAGCTCAATGTATTGTTATTAATTAGTTATTATTGTGTTATTCATGGGTTATTGTGCTATTAAGGAGTTATTCATGTGTTGTGTGCAGTCATGAAGAAAAACTGCACCCTTATATCTACAGCATTTTACCATGACAACCTGGATCTTGTACAGTTAATTCAGTCTTATTACATTCTGGTGGTCTGACAAAAAAGACCAAGTACCGAAGTAGCCTACAGGTTTGGAGGATTGGGAAAGCAACCAAGAGGTAGATGTTTCTGTTCTTGTGGATTTAACATCTTTGTTAAAGTGACTAAAATAGCCCTTCAACCTTTGTGAATGTGACTATGAAGCACCCTTGGAAACAACAAGAAAAGAGACTGTCCCTTGATTGTACAGTAGAAATGTTTTGAAATTCGAAATGGTAGGATTGCAAATGACAATATGGGTTACGTACAGCAATAATGACATTGAATGGCTCCTTAGATAAAGAGATGCTCATGGGCCTGAAAGAAAACACTGTGAATGGATAATAAAGCCTCTATGGATGAAGGAGTCTCGGACTAGTCGATCAGTCAACAGGTGTATTTTGCAGAGTGAACTGTCATCTCACCAAGATGTCATAACACAGCCACAGGTCAGACAACACACATATTTATTTGTATTTATCAAGTGTTGTTTTTTTCATCACGAAGGCATATACTATTTTCGCTGTATATTACTTGTTATATATATATATATATATATATATATATATATATATATATATATATATATATATAGAAACAAAAATAACGGTACATTTTGGCTGAATAAGATATGAATATCAGCAAAGGGCAATGTAAACCATGTTCCATCAAACTTAACCTACCCTTTCCCACATTTCAACAGTAACATATTTGCATAGGCAAAATGAGATTAGCCCTTTAAACAGTGTATTTCCTGAATTCTTCATATATCTAAAAATCTTTTTCCAGCTGAACACAATTAAACAAACAAAAAAGTTAACTAGGCTAATCGTCCTTTAACGCTTAATACATATATTTTCCGTGCACATTTTGTTTACAGTGTTAGGCTTCAAGTAGATCTAAAAACAAATTGTACATTGACAACTAGATGTGAAATAAATTAACCAATATGAGAGGTAGTGAAAACCCTAATGAAACTTAAAGGAGAAACACAGTAAATAAGGCCAATGCTTCTCTAATCACATTAAATCTGACACTTTAGATCAAAATATTTTTCTGCCAACAAACCTCTATCACCTTTCAAAGCCATTCATTCTGAATTGAAAGTCAACATTTGAACGGACATGATACTATGCCTATGATACCACCTCATGTCATTAATTCCTAAATCCTTGTTGAAATGCCAGTAAAATGAACAACCATTTCTTTCCATGGAGTGAAAATAATCAGTTACTCAGAGCATAGTCAAGAAATGACAGTGACACCAGAGAACACGTCGCAGAAACCTGCAATACTACTCTTCACCCAGTGTAAAATGCTAATTGTGAATCATTCAGAACCATTTTCCTACCTAATTTTATTTGCTATTGGCTTCTCTTGCGTTTCCAGGACGATTGCTCACCGCATGAATGTAAACTTGGTTTGATTGCACCATAATTTCAGTGTCCGGTTGGTCAAACATTCAGAAGTTACAGCTGAAATAACATCTAAACTGAGCAAGTCATTTTTTAAATGTATTATTTCAATGCGAGTTGTCATTAATAGAGCTACATAAAAGGTATCCTCTAACTAACCACTGTGGTGCATGCATACTGTATCACTTTTAGTGTATCGCTCTTCATTAAAAGAGTATGCAAACACTATTGCGAATGAAAATATCTATAAAGGTGGCTGAATTTGAATGAAATATAGGGAATGTTAGAATATTGTTGGATGTTCAAAATGGCTGATATCATTAGGCTATGCTATATGTTCATTTTTGTAAATGAATACAAACGGAAAGACTACATCTGATCCAATTGCACTTCAATCACCTACAGTATATGGGCTTTTATTAAAACCCTTAATTGAATTAAATAATGACTGGCCTTGGCACATGAACTTCAGGTAGTATGTTCAAACAGAAGAGTGGCACTGCTTCAATGACACTTGAATATCATTACCCACCAGTGGTGATAATACACACAACTCTCCCTCTCACAATATACTTTACTCATGCACTGACCTCTGCAAATCAACAGGTGACGAAGGCCTGCAATAATTTCTCCATGTTTAAATGTCACACTTGCAACAACTAAAAAATCATTGAACATATATTTTAGGCCTATATGTTCACGGGATGTTAACTATTTAAAATGTTTTGATACGTACACTACCGTTCAAAAGTTTGGAGTCACCTAGAAATGTCCTTGTTTTCGAAATAAAATAAAAAATGTGTCCATTAAAATAACATCAAATTGATCAGAAATACAGTGTAGACATTGTTAATGTTGTAAATGGCTATTGTAGCTGGAAACGGCTGATTGTTAATGGAATATCTACATGGGCATTCAGAGGCCCGTTATCAGCAACCATCAGTCCTGTGTTCCAATGGCACGTTCTGTTTGCTAATCCAAGTTTATCATTTTAAAAGGCTAATTGATCATTAGAAAACCCTTTTGCAATTATGTTAGCACAGCTGAAAACTGTTGTGCTGATTAAAGAAGCAATACAACTGGCCTTCTTGAGACGAGTTGAATATCTGGAGCATCAGCAATTGTGGGTTCGATTACAGGCTCAAAATGGCCAGAAACAAATAACTTTCTTCTGAAACTCGTCAGTCTATTCTTGTTCTGAGAAATGAAGGCTATTCCATGCAAGAAATTGCCAAGAAACTGAAGATCTCATACAACGCTGTGTACTACTCCCTTCAAAGAACAGCGCAAACTGGCTCTAACCAGAATAGAAAGAGGAGTGGGAGGTCCCGGTGCACAACTGAGCAAGAGGACAAATACATTACAGTGTCTAGTTTGAGAAACAGGTGCCTCACAGGTCCTCAACTGGCAGCTTCATTAAATAGTACCCGCAAAACACCAGTCTCAACGTCAACAGTGAAGAGGCGACTCCGGGATGCTGACCTAAGCAGAGTTGCAAAGAAAAAGTCCAGTGTCTGTGTTCTTTTGCCCATCTTAATCTTTTATTTTTATTGGCCAGTCTGAGATATGGCTTTTTCTATGCAACTCTGCCTAGAAGGTCAGCATCCGAGTCGCCTCTTCACTGTTGACGTTGAGACTGGTGTTTTGTGGGTACTATTTAATGAAGCTGCCAGTTGAGGACCTGTGAGGCGCCTGTTTCTCAAACTAGACACTGTAATGTATTTGTCCTCTTGCTCAGTTGTGCACCGGAACCTCCCACTCCTCTTTCTATTCTGGTTAGAGCCAGTTTGCGCTGTTCTGTGAAGGGAGTAGTACACAGCATTGTACGAGATCTTCAGTTTCTTGGCAATTTCTCGCATGGAATAGCCTTTATTTATCAGAACAAGAATAGACTGACGAGTTTCAGAAGAAAGTTATTTGTTTATGGCCATTTTGATCCTGTAATCAAACCCACAATTGCTGATGCTCCAGATACTCAACTAGTCTCAAGAAGGCCAGTTATATTGCTTCTTTAAATCAGCATAACAGTTTTCAGCTGTGCTAACATAATTGCAAAAGGGTTTTCTAATGATCAATTAGCCTTTTAAAATGATAAACTTGGATTATCAAACACAACGTGCCATTGGAACACAGGACTGATGGTTGCTGATAAATGGGCCTCTGTACGCCATTAAAAATCAGCCGTTTCCAGCTACAATAGCCATTTACAACATTAACAATGTCTACACTGTATTTCTGATCAATTTTATGTTATTTTAACGGACAAAAAAATTGCTTTTCTTTTGAAAACAAGGACATTTGTAAGTGACCCCAAACTTTTGAACGGTAGTGTATGTATCTGTATCTACGTATGTATCTGGACGGCAGGTACACACATTAATACATGCTGGCAATTTTAGGAAAAGAAAACAACGACTCGTCTCCAAAATCTCTATTCACCTCCCCTGGCCATCCCTGGAAAGCAGAGAGACTGTTAAAGGCACGGGGCTCACTGAAGATCCAAGCATCTTACTGGAGTCTCACTAGCCAGGCTTAAAGACAGATGAACATCTGGTGAACAGGACTGGAAACCTCCAAACCACCTCTATATAAACAAGTCTGATTCCACCTGGCCTCTTCTGCCCTCGGCTGGGCTGTTACTTAGCTGGCACTGACCCCTTCAGTCTAGGACTAGCTACAGCTTTAAAACCAGAAGCCATATAGGCCTACTTCATAATTCTATGTGTCTGCAATGCATCAGACATACCGCTATCTTATACTTGACCTTCCGAACCAAGGCATCGTGATTACTACTATTTATATTATAGGCAGTAGAAAAACTAAAAAGTAAATGGTTCTCTTTCATTCTCAGAGCTGTAAAGTGTTCATGATTTATTGTATGAAACGACTGAATTTAATGTTTGATTTCTTTTTCTCCAACAATGATTCCAACCTCTGACATAACCTGTGCTTCTCTCAGGGTGAGATGGTGCGGGAAGGATAGAAAGGTCCACTAAACTGTGGTTGTTGCCATAACAAGCAGCTCTTGTGCTGCCCTTTTCACATAAAGGCATTGTGATTTCCTGTGGAAAGTAATGTTCATAAGACATTTAGCTGCCCAACCACAATTCTAGCCCTTCTCCCAGTTTTAGAGTTGTAAAGAATGCAAGTGCTTGGATATTAACACTGCTGTAAAACTTTCAACCTTCTCAAAATCAATGACTGCAAGCTAATTGGCAAATATCAATATTCCCTTCACATCACACATCAAGAGTTTGACAGGGTAATCCCTAGAACAGAAGAAAATACATCTCATATTCAAGAACCTTTGCAGTCCACTGCTAAAATACCAAGCTACCGTAGAGCGAATTCCATTACCTTGTTACATGCAAAGTCAGTGATTTTCCTGCTCACCGCGGTCAAGCTCTACAGCCATCGTAAAAAGGACATTGTTTTTGGACTGTAAAAATGGCTGAGGCATGGGACAGAATTTGAGAGAGAAAAATACAGAGCAAGATAGAGAAAGAGAGAGCGAAAGGAGGAGAACTCAAAAGTACAGTACAGGAACAATGGGTCTGTCCTTCCTTTTGTTTCTCTTTGTCACAGTAGCCCGAGGAGCTCTTATCTGCAGTTAAACCAGGAACTAACCCTCAGGGCCTCCTGCGAGCAGACACTTGAAATTGCTTAAACTATTCATTATTTTCTTGTTTCTTTTTTTAAAAATGTTTTGAGGAAAATATCAAACCCAGTTCTGGCACCTTATTGTCTTCTTGTTTTTTTTGTTTTGCTTGGGGGAGGGTTACTTTAGGTGTCAAGGCAGGAGCTTCTCTTGCTGTCCAGAAGGTCCCTGTAAAAGGAGGAGTTGAGGAAACGGGGGTAGGAGTCTCTGTGCATCAGGGTGTAGATCTGCAGCTGGGCCTCCTCGTACATCATGTTGCTGGGCTCCGTCAGGCTCAGGTTGATGCCTTCCCTCACCCGCGAATCCAGGCTCACCTGGAGGCAGAAGAGGGGGAGAGAACAGTGACATTGCTATCACACAAAGCTACAGCGGAAATGGAGGGAGGTCATGTTATCAATGGAGATAAGGTCACCTCCCACCTCCTCCTCTTCAACCACTTTGAGATGGGGGTTTCAATATGTCTTGGAATCAGACCTGAGTCAAATACATGTATGCCAAACATCGTCAAATACTTCAGCTGTACGTGCTTTAATTTTCCACAATGGAACCAATGGAATAGTCCCGAAAGCAACAAAGTAAATATCAGCCGAGTGATACTACGTGCCAGTCAAACTCCTGCTTCCAACGTGCTGGCTCCTACCTCTTTCGGCGATAGAATGGAGACGTAGTCCTCGTAGATGATCCTGGCTTTCTCATCGATCGCAGTCGGGTCCGTCTCCTTCTTCAGCTCCTCACAGGCCAGCCAGAACAACAGGTTCTCTTCGCTGTACTCAGAGCGCAGAAATTCTCGGAAAATCTCCCTGCCTTCTGAGGAGCGCATCACCAGCTCGAAGCTACGGGCCCAGGCTACCACCTCGTCTAGAGTGGGTTGCCTAAACACAGGATACCAGGAACCCAGTGTTAGCAGTCTGGACTCTCACAATACACAACAAAACAAACAACCGTGTTATGCATCCCTCCAGAGATGCATAACACGGTTTCCACAGGCTGTTTCAATTGGCAATATAAATAGTAGTGGTCATTTGTCATACACACATCCTTGAAAAACGTAGATACTGGGCTAATGATAAACATGAAAAGAACAAAAGGCCTGCACACTGTATGCCAGTGTTCCATAAGCTTCATGACCATCACGGTTCCATTTATGATCCATATTACGGGAGGTATGTTGTTGTTTTTTCTATCGCAGGACACATTTGATAGGCGTGGGGGTGCTAACTAGCCTAATAATTATTTTGATAACAAACAATCTTGTTCAGTCATGCTACCATATTAGCTAGGTGGTAACAACCTGGTAACTTGACAGGCACACATTTGGTTGAAGATGGCACAAGGACAATGGGAACAGGGTATGCAGGTAATTAATGTGCTTGTCAGAACACTACTGTTATTCCCCATACTTATTTTGTTATTTAACCTATTCACAATTTTGCTAGTGTATTTACTTATTTGAAATCTGATTTACCTACTTGTGTCTTTGAAAAGAAATTAAATGAGGCTATGCATTTTTGTAGGCATTCATATAGGTACTATGTCATGGACAGTGTTGATTATAAGTCATAAAAACGAGAATAGGCTATATTGAAATGCCCCATACCTCAAATATCCTGTTTTGTCATTTTAGAGAGATGTCATTTTAGTATTGTGCACAAGCTGCTATAGGCAGATATGGTAGGGGGACTCAACGCCAAAGATCTTGCCTTTATACTGTTATATGATGACACATTTCTGCAAGTAGTCTGCCTCAACCACCTGAAGATTCATAGCCAGGTGGTGATTTAGATTCATAGCCAGGTGGTGATTTAGATTCATAGCCAGGTGGTGATTTAGATTCATAGCCAGGTGGTGATTTAGATTCATAGCCAGGTGGTGATTTAGATTCATAGCCAGGGTGGTGATTTAGATTCATAGCCAGGTGGTGATTTAGATTCATAGCCAGGGTGGTGATGTTAGATTCATAGCCAGGTGGTGATTTTAGATCATAACCAGGTGGTGATTTAATTCATAGCCAGGGGTGGGTGATTTAGATTCATAGCCAGGTGTGATTTAGATCATAGCCAGGTGGTGATTAGATTCATAGCCAGGTGGTATTTAGATTCATAGCCAGGTGGTGATTTAGATTCATAGCCAGGTGGTGATTTAGATTCATAGCCAGGTGGTGAATTTAGATGCATAGCCAGGTGGTGATTTAGATTCATAGCCGGTGGTGATTTAGATTCATAGCCAGGTGGTGATTTAGATTCATAGCCAGTGGTGATTTAGATTCAAGCCAGGTGGTGATTTAGATTCATAGCCAGGTGGTGATTAGATTCATAGCCAGGTGGTGATTTAGATCATAGCCAGGTGGTGATTTAGATTCATAGCCAGGTGGTGATTTAGATTCATAGCCAGGTGGTGATTTAGATTCATAGCCAGGTGGTGATTTAGATTCATAGCCAGGTGGTGATTTAGATTCATAGCCAGGTGGTGATTTAGATTCATAGCCAGGTGGTGATTTAGATTCATAGCCAGGTGGTGATTTAGATTCATAGCCAGGTGGTGATTTAGATTCATAGCCAGGTGGTGATTTAGATTCATAGCCAGGTGGTGATTTAGATTCATAGCCAGGTGGTGATTTAGATTCATAGCCAGGTGGTGATTTAGATTCATAGCCAGGTGGTGATTTAGATTCATAGCCAGGTGGTGATTTAGATTCATAGCCAGGTGGTGATTTAGATTCATAGCCAGGTGGTGATTTAGATTCATAGCCAGGTGGTGATTTAGATTCATAGCCAGGTGGTGATTTAGATTCATAGCCAGGTGGTGATTTAGATTCATAGCCAGGTGGTGATTTAGATTCATAGCCAGGTGGTGATTTAGATTCATAGCCAGGTGGTGATTTAGATTCATAGCCAGGTGGTGATTTAGATTCATAGCCAGGTGGTGATTTAGATTCATAGCCAGGTGGTGATTTAGATTCATAGCCAGGTGGTGATTTAGATTCATAGCCAGGTGGTGATTTAGATTCATAGCCAGGTGGTGATTTAGATTCATAGCCAGGTGGTGATTTAGATTCATAGCCAGGTGGTGATTTAGATTCATAGCCAGGTGGTGATTTAGATTCATAGCCAGGTGGTGATTTAGATTCATAGCCAGGTGGTGATTTAGATTCATAGCCAGGTGGTGATTTAGATTCATAGCCAGGTGGTGATTTAGATTCATAGCCAGGTGGTGATTTAGATTCATAGCCAGGTGGTGATTTAGATTCATAGCCAGGTGGTGATTTAGATTCATAGCCAGGTGGTGATTTAGATTCATAGCCAGGTGGTGATTTAGATTCATAGCCAGGTGGTGATTTAGATTCATAGCCAGGTGGTGATTTAGATTCATAGCCAGGTGGTGATTTAGATTCATAGCCAGGTGGTGATTTAGATTCATAGCCAGGTGGTGATTTAGATTCATAGCCAGGTGGTGATTTAGATTCATAGCCAGGTGGTGATTTAGATTCATAGCCAGGTGGTGATTTAGATTCATAGCCAGGTGGTGATTTAGATTCATAGCCAGGTGGTGATTTAGATTCATAGCCAGGTGGTGATTTAGATTCATAGCCAGGTGGTGATTTAGATTCATAGCCAGGTGGTGATTTAGATTCATAGCCAGGTGGTGATTTAGATTCATAGCCAGGTGGTGATTTAGATTCATAGCCAGGTGGTGATTTAGATTCATAGCCAGGTGGTGATTTAGATTCATAGCCAGGTGGTGATTTAGATTCATAGCCAGGTGGTGATTTAGATTCATAGCCAGGTGGTGATTTAGATTCATAGCCAGGTGGTGATTTAGATTCATAGCCAGGTGGTGATTTAGATTCATAGCCAGGTGGTGATTTTAGGGTGGTGATTTAGATTCATAGCCAGGTGGTGATTTAGATTCATAGCCAGGTGGTGATTTAGATTCATAGCCAGGTGGTGATTTAGATTCATAGCCAGGTGGTGATTTAGATTCATAGCCAGGTGGTGATTTAGATTCATAGCCAGGTGGTGATTTAGATTCATAGCCAGGTGGTGATTTAGATTCATAGCCAGGTGGTGATTTAGATTCATAGCCAGGTGGTGATTTAGATTCATAGCCAGGTGGTGATTTAGATTCATAGCCAGGTGGTGATTTAGATTCATAGCCAGGTGGTGATTTAGATTCATAGCCAGGTGGTGATTTAGATTCATAGCCAGGTGGTGATTTAGATTCATAGCCAGGTGGTGATTTAGATTCATAGCCAGGTGGTGATTTAGATTCATAGCCAGGTGGTGATTTAGATTCATAGCCAGGTGGTGATTTAGATTCATAGCCAGGTGGTGATTTAGATTCATAGCCAGGTGGTGATTTAGATTCATAGCCAGGTGGTGATTTAGATTCATAGCCAGGTGGTGATTTAGATTCATAGCCAGGTGGTGATTTAGATTCATAGCCAGGTGGTGATTTAGATTCATAGCCAGGTGGTGATTTAGATTCATAGCCAGGTGGTGATTTAGATTCATAGCCAGGTGGTGATTTAGATTCATAGCCAGGTGGTGATTTAGATTCATAGCCAGGTGGTGATTTAGATTCATAGCCAGGTGGTGATTTAGATTCATAGCCAGGTGGTGATTTAGATTCATAGCCAGGTGGTGATTAGATTCATAGCCAGGTGGTGATTGTTCTAAGATTCATAGCCAGGTGGTTGTATTTAGATTCATAGCCAGGTGGTGATTTAGATTCATAGCCAGGTGGTGATTTAGATTCATAGCCAGGTGGTGATTTAGATTCATAGCCAGGTGGTGATTTAGATTCATAGCCAGGTGGTGATTTAGATTCATAGCCAGGTGTGGTGATTTAGATTCATAGCCAGGTGGTGATTTAGATTCATAGCCAGGTGGTGATTTAGATTCATAGCCAGGTGGTGATTTAGATTCATAGCCAGGTGGTGATTTAGATTCATAGCCAGTGGTGATTTAGATTCATAGCCAGGTGGTGATTTAGATTCATAGCCAGGTGGTGATTTAGATTCATAGCCAGGTGGTGATTTAGATTCATAGCCAGGTGGTGATTAGATTCATAGCCAGGTGGTGATTTAGATTCATAGCCAGGTGGTGATTTAGATTCATAGCCAGGTGGTGATTTAGATTCATAGCCAGGTGGTGATTTAGATTCATAGCCAGGTGGTGATTTAGATTCATAGCCAGGTGTGATTTAGATTCATAGCCAGGTGGTGATTTAGATTCATAGCCAGGTGGTGATTTAGATTCATAGCCAGTGGTGATTTAGATTCATAGCCAGGTGTGATTTAGATTCATAGCCAGGTGGTGATTTAGATTCATAGTCCAGGTGGTGATTTAGATTCATAGCCAGTGGTGATTTAGATTCATAGCCAGGTGGTGATTAGATTCATAGCCAGGTGGTGATTTAGATTCATAGCCAGGTGGTGATTTAGATTCATAGCCAGGTGGTGATTTAGATTCATAGCCAGGTAGTGATTTAGAGAAATTCATTGTTATAGCATGAACATTTTCAAACGGCTAGCAATTGGAAACATAGATCAGGGGTGTGGCCCTTATGGAAAACTATTTTATTCAAGCCTTATTTTTAAAGCGATAGTTAACCCACATTAAAATGTAGACCGCTTACCTTGAAGCAGTCTAAGCAGACATGAAGAGACTGCAATCCATACTTTGGTTAGCCACTGCAACAAACCAACCATTCCATTTGGCTGACTTGTCTATATAATAGCGGAATACTTTGGTATGATCCTAATCACCACATTCAATGACAACACTTTGAACCAGTGCATCTTCCTGAGAGCATTTTTGACCTAAAGCCTCGCACACATCGCACTGTGGATCTAGCATTCGTCTGCCGATCGTTCAGCGCGCTGTGTTCAGGGACCACCCACTGTAGACATCTGACTGCCAACATTTTTCACTTGATTCTACATGTAAAATCGGTGGGCACTCGGTTCGCAAATTACTTTCACAGGTGCTAAGTAATCTCGGCAAGCAAACACTATTGGTGTGAGGGTAAGAGTCATGGCTACAGGAACCGATTGAAATGTAATTCAAAGGTGGTAATTAGGAGCATTCAGTGCAGGCCTTTCTGTTATTCATGTCTCAATCGACAAAACATGCTAAGCATGTCACATGCTGAAGTGTTTCCATTATTACAAGCAGGACTAGGTGACTAGAAAAATCCATCTCACTTATTACAAGAACAACATGAAGAATGAGTGTTCCAAGGTAGGCCTCAGGTTGAACCCGGTATCATGGCCACAGCCGTGTGAGAACAGTATTTGGCTCACAATTGTTTGAGAAGCCAGACAGGCTACATCGTGTAAATGCAGCTGAATGCTGAAATCCGACAATATTACATATCACACAAATAATAAGCACACAATGTCCTCTGTAGCTCAGCTGGTAGAGCATGGCGCTTGTAACGCTAAGGTAGTGGGTTCGATCCCCGGGACCACCCATACACAAAAACAAACAAAAAATGTATGCACGCATGACTGTAAGTCGCTTTGGATAAAAGCGTCTGCTAAATGGCATATTATTTATTATTTATATACCGCAGAGCTGAGCCCTATACTATATAATGGACCTGCTAATGTCCTCAGTTAAGAGCTGTTTCAGTCAAATAACTGAAATTGTGAGAGAGGTGGAGAGAAAATAAAACTCATGCTCTAATTGGCTAATACAGCAAATGAGTGAGAAACACACAGGAATAGATATTGACACAGCAGCAACGTAAAGAGAGAAAATGAATGGGCCAAAGCAGTAAAACGAAATGGGCAAAATAATTAGACTGCAACATTTCTGGCATGCATTCTGGCAAATTTCTTGCATGCAATAATTACATTTTCTGGCATATTTTCTGGCATCCTTTCTTGAGGTAGCCAGTCCTAATGTATAATGTCTATGTACAATATGTACTGTATAATGCCTGTAAAGACAGGGATGCACGGACGTGAACAATGGCCATCAGCTTATGTGACAACATGAAAACTAAAATAACACCTCACTGTTGTACTTCCCTTTCTTGCACTAACACTTCCACTTGAATTTTCTTACTAGGACTGATTTTGCTGATAGCTGCTTTGTTGAGGAAAGTTTTACTATGACTGTCATATGTGGTTGTCTTATCTAGCACTGACTGTAAGTTGCTCTGGATAAGAGCATCTGCTAAATTACCAAAATGTGAAATGATATCAAAACAGTTTGGTATTTTCTCAGAGACATCGTATGTAAAAAGGCATAGCTGGCAACTTACTGCTCCTCTGTGGCTTCAATACTATCCATTTTAGTGCATGTCCGTTCGGAACGCTCCATGTGGTCCTCATTCCTGGAAAAGGAGAAGCAGAAGGAGATCAAACATTACTATTGTTTTCAAACATATTCCATATTCAATAATACTTATTCATATGGCAGTCTCAAGGTTGGATGTTAATGTAGGATCTTTTTTGAACTACTGCCTGAGAACAGGTATGTATTCTTCTGAAAACCAGTGAAAACTAGACATGAAAACAACCTGTGAGTGGAGTGAAGCTCCCTGCTATTTACAGTACACAAAACCTTTACAAAATCGCTATACCGGAAATGTACATGTTAAACACGTGTTGGATACACAATAATTACACAATAACAAATTATATTGTAACACAAATTGAATTGTAACACATTAACAATATATTCCACCTGTCTGTCCTTTCACAAACACCTGAAAAGCTAGTTTGAGGTGCATTTTTTGTTCCTAAATACATTACAAACGTATTGGAAAGAGGTTATCTAGTAATTTCACATGACATGCAAAAGGAATGTGTTAATTTTGTGTGAAATTTCAAGTAGGGCTGTATTGGAGAAACGGCACGTTTATATGCCACTGTGTAAATACTGCTATGCAGATTTCACTGAATTGCGCTTGGATGTAGCCTAGTATAGGCCTATTGGTTCAGCCTGTGTCATACGATCATTACTTTCACACTAAACATCTACATACACAATCATGTCCAAATCATCCAAAAGTATCTAAAATTGATTGTGAAGCTCAACAAAGTCCCATATAGATGATTTGAACGTGATGTGCGAAAAATGCTAATATCGGTCCCATGACTTGAATGAGATTTGTGCCACAAATGCTAAAACGTTAGCATGTGGAAACAGTGGCACGGAAACTAAACCAAAGCATGGGTTGCAGTCATACCTTGTCCTAGAGCTGGGACGATAAACCTAAAATTACCGACACTGACATTGCCTTCCTCTTATCGAAGCATTTTGCTTACGTCAGTAATTTTAGGTGATTTTGCTACTAAAACAATTATTTGGTCAACAGTAATATATGCATTATGTCAATTCCTGCTATGAAAGTATTTGTCTGTCCTTGTTTCGCTGTTGGCTGCTGACTCTCACTCCCTCTCCCCACTGTGCGCACAAAGGAGGGAGAGATGCATTCTGAGACGCACAAGCATATGACCATTGCTCAAAATGCTATTGGGGAAAAATACAGTTTTCAAAGCAACTACTGTTGTTCTAGTTAGAGAGGAGAGTCACAGCTTTCTGTGTGTATATAATGTATTCCTCACCTCTTCATATTGAGTTCATGGCACCAATTTACAACCAGAGTAATCTGTGTAGTAAGCCGGAGCGCGCCACTTGCAGTGAATAGGCCTACATCAAGTAGCCTAGGCCTAGCGCTGGAAAGTTTTTTAGGACATTAGCCTAGATTTACTGATCGATTAATCAATTACATACAGTATGAAAAATGTATGCACTCACTAACTGTAAGTCGCTCTGGATAAGAGCGTCTGCTAAATGACTAAAATGTAAAATGTAATTAGCCCACATCGCTTTCTAGCAACAATATCATAATTAGAGTTAGCAATCTAGCTAAGTGTTTTGAGTTCCCACTTCCTAATAATAATAATAATAATAATAATAATAATAATAATAATAATAATATAGCCTATAGGCCAATATGCACAAAGATGTAAGCAAATTCTCTGAGGAGCAGAAAATAAATCTGATAATTCTGCATCCTATCAAAATATCAATCATGCATTTCCTGGATATGTTAGATGAAACAGCTTACTTTTTGAATTATAGGCTACCATTTTAATTGTCTTACTTGGCACTGGAAAAAATGTGTCTAGAGCCCTGCAGCTAATGTAAAGTAACTGTCCATAAAACAAAATATGCATTGTTGTATTTGTTGTTATCTAGCAAAATAGTTACATTTATCGCCCAGCTCTAGCACCTCCCCAAAAAATTATTCATCATGATTTGTTATCGCAAAAGAAATGTCAATTTATCTTGATATGGATTTCTGTCCATGTCACCCAGCTCTACCTTGTCCATAAATTACTTACAGGGTAATGAAACCAATATGTCATTTTGTAATTTAAGTGAACTATGGAGTGTCCGTTATATAAAAAAAATTTAATAGGTTTAGGCTATAAGGCCCATGCATCCGAGAGAAAGAGAGAAACACTATTTTCTGACTGGACTGCTTTGGTGGAATTCTCCACTCTGTCTAGCCTACATTCCTCTATTTCGTTCTGTATATTTATTGAAATAGGCTAAAGCAAAAAGGATAGGCAAATTACTCTGAATGTCATTTGTGTGTTCTTTACTGCGCAGTGCCAGTTAAGTTCAAATAGGCTAAACCATCGTTTGTCACATCACAATGTCATCACCATCGATAATGGCTGTCAATCATCATCGATAGACGATACTAGTGTAGCCTATAAATCTACACATTTCACAGTGTTTAGTCTCATTTAGCCACTACAGCACTCAGTTGGTTTCATACAAACTCAGCTTTCCCCCAACATCCAACAAAGCTGTACTGTTGCTTTATCTCAAATGGGGAAAATGAACAGTGCATTCGGAAAGTATTCAGACCCATTCCCCTTTTCCACATTTTGTTACGTTACAGCCTTATTCTAAAATGGATTAAATAAAAATGTTTCCTCATCAGTCTACACACAATACCCCATAATGAGAAAGAAAAAACAGGTTTTTAGAAATGTTTGCAAATGTATTAAAAATAAAAAACAGAAATACCTTATTTTATGGTATTCAGACCGTTTACTCAGTACTTTGTTGAAGGACCTTTAGCAGCGATTACAGCCTCGAGTCTTGAAATTGAGCTCAGGTGCATCCTGTTTCCATTGATCATCCTTGAGATGTGTCTACAACTTGATTGGAGTCCACCTGTGGTAATTTATTGATTGGACATGATTTGGAAAGGCACACACCTGTCTATATAAGGTCCCACAGTTGACAGTGCTTGTCAGAGCAAAAACCAAGCCATGAAGTCGAAGGAAATGTCCGTAGAGCTCCGAGACAGGATTGTGTCGAGGCACAGATCTGGGGAAGGGTACCAAAAAATGTCTGCAGCATTGAAGGTCCCCAAGAACACAGTGGCCTCCATCATTCTTAAATGGAAGAAGTTTGGAACCACCAAGACTCTTCCTAGAGCTGGCCGCCCGGCCAAACTGAGCAATCGGGGGAGAAGGGCCTTGGTCAGGGAGGTGACCAAGAACCCGATGGTCACTCTGACAGAGCTCCAGAGTTCCTCTGTGGAGTTGGGAGAACCTTCCAGAAGGACAACCATCTCTGCAGCACTCCACCAATCAGGCCTTTATGGTAGAGTGGCCAGACGGAAGCCACTCCTCAGTCAAAGGCACATGACAGCCCGCTTGGAGTTTCCCCAAAAGGCACCTAAAGGACTCTCAGACCATGAGAAACAAGATTCTCTGGTCTGATGAAACCAAGATTGAACTCTTTGGCCTGAATGCCAAGCGTCACATCTGGAGGAAACCTGGCACCATCCCTACGGTGAAGCATGGTGGTGGCAGCATCATGCTGTGGCGATGTTTTTCAGTGGCAGGGACTGGGAGACTAGTCAGGTTTGAGGGAAAGATGAACGGCGCAAAGTACAGAGAGATCCTTGATGAAAACCTGCTCCAGAGCACTCAGGACCTCAGACTGGGGGCGAAGGTTCACCTTCCAACAGGACAACGACCTTAAGCACACAGCCAAGAAAATGCAGGAGTGGCTTCGGGACAAGTCTCTGAATATCCTTGAGTGGCCCAGCCAGAGCCCGGACTTGAACCCGATCGAACATCTCTGGAGAGACCTGAAAATAGCTGTGCAGCGAAACTCCCCATCCAACCTGACAGAGCTTGAGAGGAAGTGCAGAGAAGAATGGGAGAAACTCCCCAAATACAGGTGTGCCAAGCTGACTCGAGGCTGTAATCGCTTTTTTTTTGTTGTTGAAAAAACGGTTTTTGCTTTGTCATTATGGGGTATTGTGTGTATATTGATGAGGAAAAAAACTATTTAATCAATTTTAGAATAAGGCTGTAACGTAACAAAATGTGGAAAAAGTCAAAGGGTCTGAATACTTTCCGAATGTTACCTTAATAAACTGTCTGTCTGACTGGCTGGGGAAGCCAGGGCATAAACCAATTAAAACTGTCTCCTCTGTTATTAGCCTGGCTCTTCCAATTACAGGAGGCTGGGCATGCAGAATACCATCTTGGATCCCCCTCTAATATATGGGAATTCCAACAGACACCGGCTTAAGGGAGGTGCCAAATCGCATGGCAGCAGGGAAGTACAGGGGTTGACACAAACCAGGTTTCCACACAACCATTTAATGCGGATGAATGACCTAATGCACAAAAAAAGTCACGGCAGGCCTTATGGAAACAGCAAATTTGTCTGTAATCTTCCCAATGTCGACAATACAAAATACGCTAGACAAGGTGGGATATTTATTTTATGTGAAAATAGATAGAAATACCATCATGTCACAGTAAATTTGGAGTCACGCGATGATGTTGTAACCTACTACCACCACGACATGGAAAAACATGCAGAGTTTATAGGCAGATGGAATACGTTTTGATGAACTTCATAACTTATTTCATAACTTCATGCAAATTTCCAAAAAATATTTGAGGGTAGGCTATCATTTGGATGATGCTGGTGACATGATGATCGGTGCTTGGCTGCCAATTAAAACATTTAAAAAAGGATCTTGCTTTTATCCATATCTCATCATATAATCTACCCTGTCCACTTTATCAGCGAACTGTTGTCAATAGAGCATGCGCCAAAACCAAATTGGGTAGGTATGCTATTTATCGCAACAGTTTTTGAGACAAAACCATCCGTAAAGTTGAAATTGCAATGGAAACACAAACTTCTGTTTTATTATTCAGTACATGAAAACTTAAACGCATGCGCTTTTATGTGCACTACGTCATCACGCACATCATTTTATCTGCTAAAAAGTAACGCAAAAAAGATCACACCTCCGGTGGGAATATTCACATATTTTCTCTATGCAGGCTTTAGAATATTTGCATGGAAATCTGTCGCCAATTGGATGGAAACCTAGCTACAGACACAGAGC